AATACACATAAAAAATTAACATTTGTTTTATTTACCAATTTACAGTGGTGTTTCACATTTAGTAATTTTTCAAAATGGCTGGTGGGAACAGCTCTTTTCCATCAAGGAAAAAAAAAATTTGTGTTTTTTTTTTTTTTTAAATAAATTGTGGAGTGGGGGTGAATATGACAGACTTAAAAATAAATATTTCTACAAATTTTTACTGAAAAAAAAAAAAAAAAAATCATAAATAAGTACCAACAATTTTATTATCATTTTGGGTATGTTTCTAAAATCTTGGTGTGGTTTGCTTGTTGCCAAATTTGAAACACTTTTGATGTGGTTATTTTAAGGCCCTTTAGCTTTGGGGTGCTTTCTGGATGATCCAAAAGAATCAATCTTATCCACTAAAGACTTTTAGACAAATTTGAGCAAAAAAATTCTCAGAGGAAGAGTTAACACGGTCTACTAGAAATTAGCTGTGTATAGAATATCACACATTCAGAAGAAACACTTGAATGGAACTGGGTATTCAAGTACCCCCACCAACACACACACACAGCTTCTTTGTCAAAAAAAAACTGAGAAACAAAGAGGAAGAATCCTTGAGAGTAGTTAGGCCTGGATGGAAATTGGGAAGAGAGAGAGAAAAGTGAAAATTTGTTTTTTGAAAAAAAAAAAAAAAAAAAAAAAAAAAAAATCACAGACAATAATTGTTTTGTAATTTTCAAATAAGTTAGTTTAAGTATATTTTGAAATATTAACATACAAATTCCATTGGCCACTAATTATGTGGAGCTGAAACATTCCAACCAAACTAAATCATAAATAAATTACTTGGTTAACTTTTAACGGATCCCATAAAATGATTTTCAAATATATGTCATTTCTTTTGTACAATTACCAAACTCAATCATCTATGGAGAAATACATTTATATGCATTTTATGTACATACAGGTTTGAAGAAAATTGGTACAAGCTGTTTTAATTTGATACATGGATAACTCAGTTTTACTTTTTCTGATTTTATAGATACAGTTATAAAAGTATAACTGCCATAAATCAGCCAAAGGTGTTCAGGTTCTCAAGTTTCAGCTATTGTTTTTTTTTTAAAATAAAAATAGCTTAGTTTTTGACAATAGAATAGAATTTTTGAAACAGTGAATACAAACACATTTAGAATCATCAGGATTCTTTGTTTAGTATACTGTGGTCATTATCTAACATAGTCATAAAACAAGTGGTATGTCAATGACCACACTACAAACTGTGGTTCTGTTCAGCTATTGGTTATCCAATCTTTCCCATTTATCAGAATTATTTTCTCTTTTATTGAAATTTGTTTATATATATTTTTATGGTCTACAACATTGATGGTAGGGTGGGAAGTGAATGCTGTTAAAATCTTCAAGAAAGTATATTCAAAATATGCTGTTGAAAACAAAAAAATTTTTTAAGGTTCTTAAAAATCAATTCTGTCATAACATTTCTCTCAGTTTCCAATCTTGTCTTCAATTTTTTTAAAACTTGGAAATAATTTTCAAGTTTATTAGTATGCTATTTTTTTTTTCAGACCAAAATAGTCAGCAAACTTCTCTTCAAAAAAGCTTATAAAATAAGAGAAAAAATTAACTATAAAAGTAGAAAATATTAATTTGCCATTTTTCATTAGTCATTTTGCAAAACAGCTTCCATTATTATTAACAGGAAAGCAAAGAAATAATACTACTTTTCTATTGTATATAACTACAATTATTACTGTAAATTATGGCATAAAGTTGAATTTCAAAGCCTAGAAAATCTTTTTGGGTTGAATTTTTAGGCCTGAAAAAAATCTTTTGCAGTCAAAGTTTTGGATCATTGGTAGACTGCCATATGTTTGGGGAGGGTCAAACTATGTAGTAAATATAGGCCTAACTTAGAATTTTTAGCTAAAAATCTTGTATGTTGCATTTTATGGGATTTTGGATTAAATATGCTAGTGATACTGTCAAAAGTTTTAAAATTTCTTTTTAGGAATATACACCTAATGATCCTAAATTAGTGACTGCACAAGCTGACATTTTTTTCCATTCAATAAATAAAAGAAAATTTGATTACCTGTTCTTTTCAAATTACAATCTGTTTAATACAACAGATGAAACACCTTCCCATTTAACTAGAGAATTTTAACCAACTTATTTGGCATAAACATATACAATGTGAGGTCTATTTTTATTTTTCCTAATTCGTTCTTGATTATTATTTTTAGAGTCATTTAAATACAACTTGTATACACTTCCTATTAAAAATATATTTCTGCAATAAGAGCGGTGATTTAAAAACAAATGTACATTAATCACATAAAAGTAAAAAATAAAAATAAATTTCTACCATACATCATATTTTGAATACACCTTATTCACAAACTTTGTTAGTTTTAATGGCATTCATTAGACCGAGGAAAATATAAAATACTGTACAAATGAATTTCCAAATAAAATATTAAAGAATACAGGAAAGTAGTTTATGACAATCACAATGGAAGCCATTTTTATTCAGTTTTTTTATTGAAGGATTCACCTTACCTAGAAGATATGGCAGAACATACAACATTGTTGCCAACTGTGCTTTTAAGAAAATGAACACTAACCATTACTAGGAAATTTTCAATGCAGTTTTTTTTTTTTTTAGTGGTTTTCTGAAAACATGAAATGGTGTTGAAAAAACACTTAAACTGTATTTTCAAAATATGAAGCAGAGTGGAAGAAAGAAAACTCCTTCTCCAAATAGAAAATAATTATATATCAAATTCATAAATACAATATTAAAATGTTTCCAAATATAAATATATAACTACAAATTGAAAAGAGTATCTCATTTCCAGTCAGTAATTGATAAACCCACTTCAGTCTTTGAATCTTGGGGGAGAGGAGAGGAAATTTTGAGGTAAGCTTTGCAGTTTCATGTTTAGACATCTCTGCCCATTTATGTCCGGGTGTCTAATCCTGTCATTTGAACTTCCCTGAATTGTAACAATAACAATTTTGTTTTTGTTTTTTTACATTGAAACTTTGAAAATACTGAAGAGAAATGAAGAAAAAAATGACAAGTGAAAATAAATACTTTTTTTTTCCTCTTATAAAAAAGTTGAAAAAGAAATTTTTGGCACGATAAATTTCATCCTCAAAAAGACAAAAGCCAATAAATAATTTTTCCTAAAGACTTGGCACCAGCTTGACATGCTTAATCAATTTTGTAGAGGAAACAAAACACATAATTTTTTAATCTGCCATCAACCAAAGATAATCTAAAAACATAATGCAATAATACTGCTATGACAATAAAAGCCATATGTTTTATATAATGCTAAGATCTAAACACAATCTGAGTAAAGCCAGTGATAGTGAAAACATTTTTGACAGATAGCAGTGTTGAAATCATGCAATGTTTCCCTCTAAGACATTTCTAAAAGCATTATAATTCATGCAGAGATAAGATATCAAAGGCTGATGACATCACACAGCCTAATATTTTAAAAGAAATATTGAAGAAGAGAAATTTATTTTCAGAAATATGTAAATGGTATGCAAATGAATTTTGAAAACTTCATATCCAAGCCAAAAATACTGAACAAGTGAGCAAAAAAAAAAAAAAAAAAAAAACCTGAAGAATTTAAGTTTCTCATGGAGGTGACAAAAGAGAATAAAGATGAGCTTTTTATAAATAAATGCATACACAATTTTGGTATATTTAACATTCTGTCATTCATTCTGAGAGATAAAGAGAGAAAAAAAAAACGTCAGCCTAGTTCTATTATACTTCTTAGAAAACAGTATTTTGTCCACTAAATGGCCAATTTTGATTACATATCCACTCACATATTTATTTTCTGCCTTTGTCTATGCAAAATGTCTAGAAAACTCTTAGGTTTGATTTTTATGAAATTTTATTATCTAAATACAAGAAGGCATTTCATTAGAAAGTTTCTATATTTTATTGGGTATATAAAGGCAGCAGCTCACATTGATCTTAACCAAAAGGCTTGGAAAGATGATTTTCCACTGTAATATAATTGGGAAATATTTAAATGAAGAGGTCTTTCTTAATGAATTTGTCTATTTTCTTCTATTCAAATCTTTGTTAAAATTCTAATAGAAAAATAAAAGTAAAGACATAGCTAAATACCATTTTAACTGAAAGCAACTTGAGATAACTTTCCTGATATAGATGCTGTGAAACTTTTTAAAAAAATAGATGACAGGGGAAAAGAAACAAGAGGAAAGAGGAAAAGAAACAAGAGGAAAGAGGAACAAGGGGAAAGAGGAACAAGGGGAAAGAGGAACAAGGGGAACAAGGGGAAAGAGGAACAAGGGGAACAAGGGGAAAGAGGAACAAGGGGAACAAGGGGAATAAGGGGAAAGAGGAACAAGGGGAACAAGGGGAATAAGGGGAAAGAGGAACAAGGGGAATAAGGGGAAAGAGGAACAAGGGGAACAAGGGGAAAGAGGAACAAAAGAACAAAAGGAAAGAGAAAAAAGAACAAAAGGAAAGAGAAAAAAGAACAAAAGGAAAGAGAAAAAAGAACAAAGAGAAGGAGCAAAAGAACAAAGAGAAGAGAAAAAAATGATCCCATGCCATGTAAACCAAAAATGATTGTAGAGTATTCTAATTGGAATGACACAAAAATGAGAATGTTAGTTTCAAATCAAAAATATTTAAAATTCTTAAAAGTTACAAAAAATCTAAATTAATTTTTGAATTTTTTTTTTTTTTTTTTACTCAAATGAACACGGGAAAGAAAACAAAAACGAACTCACTGAGAAAGAAAAAGCAAAAGAAAGGTAGACACACAAAACAACAATGACAAAAAACAAAAAGTTAAACTTTTAGGAGTGTGCACAGCAGTTGTAAAGAATTATGGAATGTAGAAAAAAAAAAAAAAAAAACGACAGGAAAAGACAAGAGACAAAAGACCTCAGCAGCATGACAGAAGTGGCAGTAGTAAATAATTATATATACAATAAAGAGAAGACTTGGTCTATACACAACCATACTCGTACCACACAGAATTGGTTTTTGAGTCCTTAGGCTCATCATTGGTCTTGTTGTTACTGGCACTGCTGTTATTGCTGCTGCTGCTAACAGGCTTAGCGGCTGTCTGCGGTTTCATGGACGTCTTGGTCTGGGGTGAAATTCTGGCCGTTGGAGCATTCTTCATCCCGGTGTTTGTGTGGCTGGGGGGTAAGCTCTGGGAGTTTCGAGAATGTCCACTCTGAGATTGTAACATTGAAGATGTGGAGGAGGATGTGGGGAGCATCCGGTGAGCATCCTGAGGGGATGTGCTGTTGCTGTTAGAGGCTGCAAGGCTGGTATTCGGTATGTAACTATTGGGGTCTCTACTGAGGGGTTTAGGTGGTGGAACAGGGGGTGGTCCCTTTGGGTGTGGTCGGTAAGGGTAATTGTCATCAGTATCACGGATTTCTAAAATGCTGCTAGCAGACATGGGCTTGTCAACGTGCGTCAAGTGATAGTCAGAAAAGTTCTGGTTTCCAGTTACAGAATTATCTGGGGAACGAGAGTTGGTTTTGCTAAGGGATAGTTCACTTTTGGAAAGATTAGGGTCTGTTCTATAGAGGCTGGGTGAACAAGTGTCTCGAGACTTTTGGGGAAAAGGGGAAGCTGATCCCATTGGTCGAGATGCCGACCCCTGGGGATACTGATTGTTAAAATGCATAGATGAGGGTCGCTCAATTGAGCCAGATTGACTATGGTGCATTTGTGACTTGTCTTGGTGATTATGCCAACTGTCACTAGCGAAAGACTTTTCATGGGAGGCAGAAACATAGGAGGACTGGTCAGAACTGACAGTGGATAACCGGCCAGACACATCAGTAGATGCTGCTGGTCGGCTATTGGATTTGGCTGACCTAAGTAGCATGTAAGACGGCTCATGAGATGTAGAATTCCGAGAAGAGGAGCGCTCAGGATAGAGATTATCCCCTTGACAATGGTGTTCCCTCGAGTAGGTGTTCTCTTGATGGTAGGGCAATCGTGTCTTTGGGGTTGACGTCTTTAGCATATTTTCACGATAGGCCGATGGCGGGACGGACGAGTAGTGAGATTCAGAGCCATCAGTTTTGCCATCCGTTGTACTGTCTCCACTTCCAGATGAGATTCGAGAGACTTTTGATAAATTTAATTCTTGGTAATTGTTCATGTTGGGATTTGAAGGAGCCTCAGCTCGCACTGGATGTTGTGGAGAGTTGGAATGAGTTCTATTGTTCTGATTGTACCCAGGGTGGAGGTGGTCTTGACCAGCAACCATATTTACTGGCCTTGGACCTGTGCAGCCATCAGGAGTTTTGTTTCTTTTCATCTGTTCATTTTGGGAAGAAAATGTCATCTCATTTATTTTCTTGTCTGTTGATTTCTTCTAGAAAAGACAAAATGAAAAATACAAAATTATAATGAACTGGGAAAAAATTAAATTGTAATTTTCTTGAATTAAGTTTAATAATTTTTTATCATTTCACCCAAGCAAGACGGTAATATGCAGGGGTTATAGGGAGTGAAAGTGAAAGACAAGACTGAGAATAGGGAGGATTTAGGACAGGACAGAAAAATGAACAGGGGTCAAAAACATAGAAGATGGCAATTGATGTTGCATTTAAATTTTTGAAGATTGTAGTTATCATGGAAGTAAGGAAATGGAAGGGAGTTCCACAGGTGGGAAGGGTGAGAAAAGAAACTGTTGGAGTAGAAATGGCACTTGCATCTAATTAGTTCAACAGTAAAATGTTAGGACCTTGTTGTCAATCTAATCGCATGCTTAAATTCATGTAGTTGGGACACCAAGTAAAAAAACTAGTCAGAGCAATCGCCATGAAAATATTTGTAGAAAAAAACAGGAGAGCCAGGTCAAATCAGTGAGAAAGTGACTGAAGTCAAGATGGTAATGGCTGGTCAGGATGAACCACATTACAGATCCTATTTTAGATTATGTCAAGAAGCTCGAGATGTGCAGCAGGAGCACCAGACCAGATCTTGCAATAATGTGGATGCACCTATACACCTTTATGAAACTTATATTGTCTGCTGTTATATATATATATATATATATATATATATATATATATATATATATATATATATGTGTGTGTGTGTGTAAATATATAGAAAAATAGGAAAGAACATATTAGGTTAATAATCCAAAGTTCTTTAGTATTTTTTTTATTTTTAAAAAACAGTGCTCAATACATAAGTAAAGCCTAAATTATAATTATTTTTTAAAAATATGATTCCATCGTTATATAAGAGTTCTCATGTTTCAAAAAAACTTCAATTTAATTATAAAACTTAAATTGAATTAAAGTATCAAGCTCTGTTTCTTCTTCAAGTGAATTTTTTTTTTGAATAAGTAATCTTGAAATTTATGGATCTTTATAATCATATTCATTTGTAATTATAATTACTATGGAAACGGCTGAAGCAATTATTTCAATAAGGGGTGTAAGAGTTAACATATTGTGTCAACATATTAGTTACTTACGGAAAGAGGTCAAGTCAAGGTAGGGTCGGGGGTGTCTATTTTAAAGTGAATGATGACATTCATTAGACGTATATCATCTAGTCTGTTTCCGCAACAGAGAGTTATTGAGCTCCTGTTTTTGAAACATGAGAACTTTTATGTAGTAATGGAATCATATTTTTTAAAAATAATTATAATATATATATATATATATATATATATATATATATAGGGGGGGGAAATGTATATATAAACTTTTATAGCTGAAGAAAACTTTTAAGGGAATCTATGACAAAATAGCATCATTTAAATTTCATCATTTAAAAATTTATTGGACTAAAATTATGTTTACATTGATGCAACTATACATGCACATGAAGAGATGATACTGAAAGTAAAATTGTTTTATTTTTTTTATAAAATATGTATTTTGGCTATATAATTTAGCCAATTTCATTAAGTTTCTTTTTCATTTTGCTTTTATCACTTCTGTCATTAAATATCCCACATTGAGATAATAGAACTGCCAAGAAAGGTGAAAGGAACTGAACGTGTATATATATATATATATGTGTGTGTGTGTGTGTGTGTGTGTGTTAAAGTTAAAGTGTGTGTGTTAAATCTGTAGAGAAGACAAATTGAATAAAATAAACAATCAGAAAATAGTCCTTGCTGACACGTTTTGTCATTTGATTTTATCAAGGCAAGTGATAAGCAAAAGTGAAAAGCCAGTTAGTGCTAAGCCATGTATAAATTTAGACACTATTTAGCTAATGATGCTTGAAGTCACAAAGAGAAAGGCTATACTTTCTTTTACTTATTTGGTTTCCGCTGAGGATTTTGAATAATCTACAAAGGATACTAAAAAGATCTACATATAGTCATTATCTCATGACATGAATTAAGTGGATATCCACTTTTCAAACTGCTGTTTCTCAAGAGGCAGAGAGAAAATGATCAATAAAATTGCTTTTCACAAGTAATTTTATTAACCCTCTAGGTTCAGAAGCACCCAAATATACTTGCAAAGTTTCATATGTTTATAGTCCAGGAAGTGCCTGTATGCACCAGCAATCTGGGAATACTCGTCACATGATCAACTGGAGGTGCTTGAAATCTACAAGCTGCAGATTTAAAAAATCATATCTTATTACCAGTAATACCAAGGAGGCTGAATTTGAAAAAGAAATCAATTTACTTTCATATAAAAATCAACTTGTAATACTTGATTTTTAATGGTTTTCAACTGATCAATTTGTTTTTTTTTTGTTTTTTTTGCTGTTTATCAACCCTTTTCAGGTTATTTAAAGCCAGAAAATATTTTTAGATTGTAAGAATATTTTTGTTTTTAGATAATAAGGATTTACTGATATAAGTCCTACTAATTAACCCATAGATAGGGGGAGAAAAAGTGAATTCATAACTTTCCCAGAAGAAAAGTTATTAATTATGTGAAAGTTATGTGTCATACGAAATGAATATAATGAACCCAACTGGAATTGGAACTTGGTTCTTTGATTTCCAATTCTGAACCATTATCCATTATGCCATCTGCACATCCAAGCTTACAGCACCTGGTATTCCCAAGTGGTCACCCATCTAGGTACTGACCAAATTTGACATTGCTTAACTTCAGTTATTGTATGAGAACGAGTGTTTCAACATGATATGGCCGTAAGCCTAACGGTTTTTGAGATATATCAATTGAATTGCATTAATATCAGATGTGCAGATTTTTAAACAATTTGATCAGGTCTTCAGGAGTTTAACAATTAAAATCTATTAAGGGCTAATAGGGTTAAGATGAAAATATATAAGATTAGCCTTTCTGGATAAACTTAAGATTAGCCTTTCCTTATAAACATGCTACTTAATAATGTTTCTCTTTTTTCTTATTCTTTCACACAGCAAACTTAGTGACTTTACTGCCTTGCATGGAGTGAAATGATTAAAAAAAAAAAAAAATTTGTTTTGCCTTCGCAGAGGACAGACAAACCTAAAATGCAAGACAATTCATATACACTTAAAAAAAGCAATCTCTGCCTGCCACTATTTTTTCTACCTATTTCAGTCAAATTCTACATTACAAACTGCTACTTTCTGAGGAGAAAAATGTAAGAAAGTACTTGATGACTTACTCTCAAAGTTGGCGGTGAAGGACTACTGGACTCGCGCAAAAACTGCTCCAATGTGAGTAGCTCACTGCCAGGAGAGATCCTACCAGCAATGTTTGAAGATGAACCTCTGAAGCCATCATCATAGTCATGGATTCTTCCTGATTGACAAAAGAAAAACAGAGTTTAGTTGTTTTAGAAATTACATTTACAAAGAGAAACATTTCAAATTTATTGAGAATTTAGCAACTAAATATTTAATCAAGAGAAAGAAGTAATTGAACAAAATATTCAGTGATTTATTAGGAAGCAAATTTTAGTTAAATTTATTAAAAGCTTTTATTGAATAAAAGTGGATCTTTTGATTCTTTGTAAATATGGCTGATAAAAAAGTTTTACAGTAAACAATACAATTTAGTTTCAAGATAAAATCGCACTAAAATTCAGGAATTTTTTTTTTTTTTTTTAGGTTGCTTTGTATGTTCATTATACTTTGATTAAATTTTTGCTGGGAAACTCAAATATTCCTCAGCAGAAATTATTGGATAATGCAATATGTCGAGAAAACATTAAAAAAAAAAGAAAATAAAACAAAAGAAAATATATATTTTATTTGATAATGCAAATCATTTTCTCACTGAAATAATTGGGAAAGACAACAAAAAAATATTCAAACACATTTTGGCATTTATTTTCCAATATTGATAAATATGTAAGATCTTTAAACAGACAAATTTTGAGAATTGTTGATATCTGAAAGAAGGAAAGGATTGGTGATTTTTGTTTTGTTTTTTTACAACTTATCAACTCTTATTGGGTTATTTAAAGCCAAAACATATTTTAGATTGTAAGAAATTGTTTTTTTGTATTGCATTAACAATCTTTTGGAAATAATGATTTTTCTAGATACAAATTCTACTAATTAACCCATAGCTGGGGAGAGGAGATTGAATCATACCTTTCCCAAGGGTATTTCTATGTAAGTAAATGTAACAAACTTGACTAAAATTCAAACTCTAATTTCTCATTCCTATCTATTACTATCCATTACACCACCTGCACATCCAGGAGGAGAGGAAATGAAGAAGTATTATAAAGATTATATGTAACTGTACAAAAGGTGTAGATTATATACAATTATTATTTGTTTACCTTCTGCCAATATGAAAAAAGCTAGATTCAAATATCTAACATTTAATGTTCACAATATTAGACTAATATTTTTTCATTACTAATAAAAAAATAGGATAGAGACATCAGTTCTTCATATACAAACTTACAGCTTTGTAACAATCTTGTCATATTTAAATTTTTGAGATGAAACATTGTCAGTTATTATTAATTTTTATCTAGTATTTCTTTCATCTTAATTACAGTTGCTTTTTATCATAATATCACCAGTTAGTATTCATAATATAATCAATAAGGCAACTGCCCTGGAAAGACAAGCTTCTGAGGATAGTGGATATGAGCAAGTCTCACTGGAGACTCCTCCACCCTTACCATTTTATGTTGTTTACTAGTAGTTATGAAATGACAATGTGGGAGTGCTAAAAATTAACAGAAATTAAAATAAAAGAAATAATATTAACAATATTCCTGTCAGCTCCAGTTTACAAAAAATTTAGAAAATGCTGTTTAAAACGGCTCATCTATTCAGGAGAGGATTATCCATGTAATTTTATATTTTAATTCAAATTTTATTTTGCAGTGTTCTTATATTGTTTATTCAACACTCATTGTTGCAGTGATTGCTTTCAGTGAGGTAAGACCTACTTCACAAATTACACTATAACGAGATACCTCAAGAGAGCTAAGTAATCATTGTTGCAACCTTACAAGTGACAAACAATATATTTCTACAGTAAAGCAGTTTAAAGACAAACATTATATTCAGTTCCTGCAGTTCATTTCTTAGAATATTTACAAAAAATTACTAAGACTTCATTTCTATAAACCTTCATATTTTTTTTTTGCATTACACAAAACAAAAAAGATGACAATCCCAGTATGGGTGTTGGGAAGTACCTGAAAACCACACCCCAGGCTGACCCCAGGTCTTGTGAATGAAACTGGTTAGATGAAACTGTTTGAAAGCTATCAATGGATTGGGACCAAAGGCTTCAGTGTACTGGCCTTGTTACCACCCCCCCCAAAAAACAAAAAAAACCTGATTATGCACTCTCTTCGAGAAACTGTAACTAAGGTCTGCTCATCATAGTTACGGTAAAAACTGCAGGTTGGCTCTGAGGATGTTGAAGAAATACTAATGTGTGAGTAGTTGCCTGCAACTGTTATTAGCTACTAACCATTGTAGCAGATTTGTGAGTGCATGGCGGAGTGAGTAGACATTTGTGTTCAGAGACCATAAAACCCAGGTTCAAAGCAAACCATGGTCAGTTTGTCAAGAAGGTGACTTCTTGATAAGATCAGTCTGGGGAGACACTCCCAGTATGTGACTGTTGGGATTGCCTGAAAAGCACACCACAGGTTGACCCCAAGTCTTGTGAATGAAACTGGGCAGATGGAACTGTTTGAAAGCCATCAATGGATTGTGACCAAGGGTTTGAGCATAACTGGCCTTGTTAAAAAAAAAGGCAAAAACAACTGATTATACACTCTCTTCTAGAAACTGTAACTAAGGTCTGCTCAGCATAGTTGCTGTATAAACTCCAAGTTACCCCTGTGGATATTGAAGAAAAATTAATGTGTGTGAGTAGGTGCCTGCAACAGGGATTAGCTACTAGACATCCTAGCAGATGAGCATAATACAAATAACTTTACATTTTCCATTTGCAACCAAAGCCTCTGTTTCCATTGAATTTATAAACATATTATAAGACTTTATTTTCTAAATATAGCAAATATATTCCAATGCCTTCTTACTGACGTTAAATTCAAGGGATGAACCTTCTATCTGTGGTGATTTTTTTTTCAGTGAAGAAGGTTTTGAAAAATATCACCAACAGTATGATAGAGATTAAAGCAACAATGTTAGTTTCTCAATGGAAATTTATCTAAACCAGGCGTGGGAAAAGCTTGGCATGCATGCCAAACATGGCACACCGATGACTTGTTTCTGGTATGTGAAACTTATTCCCTAGACTCCCTTTTTGACTTACTTTTATTCTTTCTTGTCTAAGAAATGATGTCATTCAATCGAAGAGGATAGAGAATTTAAAGAGTACTAGACTGAAAAATTTGGCATGATTAAGAAAAACAAAGTGTTTTCTGTTCTGAAATAATCGTTTATAGGACTTCTTCTGTAAATAGACATTTTGAAAGTGTTTATAAGAACTTAAGCAATAAAACTGAGGAGGAACTAAGAGAATTAATTTCTTGTGAATTGAGCAAGACAAAAAAAAAAAAAAAACATGCTGATACTTTTATGAACTTTATTTCAGGTAATCCCAGTTTCAACTTATTGCCCAATATGGAAAGCCACTCTGTGATGGGGAGTATATTAAAGCACTTGGATAGAATGTGCACCTTCCCTTTCTGTCAATTTTTCAGAAAAGGAAAAGATTATTCAACACATTAAAGATTTGTCTGTGAGCAGGAAAACAGTTAAGGATAGGATACTTAAGTTGGAAAGGAATACATCTGAACAACTGACAAAAGATTTGTCTTCATGTAAGATTTTTTTCTATTTGTGTTGATGAAAGTATGGACATTACATCATCAGCTGAGCTACCCATATTTTCTTTATTTTGTAGAAGTGATGAAGTATGTGAAGAGATGGTTTCCCTTGTAACACTACCAGGGCTGAAATATGTAAAGCAATTGTGAACAACTTATCTACTCGACAAATTCATATTTCAAAAGTAGTATCTGCCACAACAGATGGTGCCCCCAGCATGACTAGTGAGAAGGCAGGATTTATAAATCTGTTTGCAAAAGATATTGGTCATCCACCGATAGGTTTTCATTGCATCATACAGGAGGCTTTGTGTGCTAAAGCTAGCCTAAAGGAACTTCAGGAAGTGATGCAAACAGTTACCAAGATTGTTAATTACATTTCTGTTCGGGCTTTAAATAAAAGACAATTTAAAATTTTATTAAATGAAGTAGAATTTGTATATAAAGGACTAAAAATGTACAGCAATGTTTGTTAGCTTAGCTGAGGTTTGGTTCTGAAATGATTTGTTGAATGCTTAGATGAGATAAAGCTCTTTTTGAATGACCAACATGTGTCTTACCAAGAATTATCTGACATCATGTGGGTTTGTAAACTGATATTTTTTGCAGATTTTTGTGAACATTTAAATGACTTGAATATTAAATTACAGAGCTCTTGATGTTATGTTTGGTTACATAAAGGCTTTTCAAATGAAACTAGAAGATTTTTAAGAGGGATGTAGATAGTGAGAAATTTAGATACTTCCTAAACCTAAATAGGTATATCAATGATCTTTCAAAAGATGGCAGAACAGACCACCAGTTCTTCAAAAGCTGTTTGTAAACATCATTGAATCAACTTCAGAGAAGTGGAAGAGACAACAAAATTCATTAAGTTTCCATACAGTATCAACTATGGATGAACTAAACTTGCAAATGTTTTCATGGATAGACAAGGATGATTTTGAAATGCAGTTGACTGAATTTCGGTGTAGCTCAATTTGGAAGCAGAAATTTGTTGACCTTAGAGATGACTTGGAAAATATTGAAAAGCATGATTAGAGATGGGAGTATCAAAAAGAAATGCAGAAAAAGTATTAAGGACTTGGAATACCATTCCAGAAAATTTTGTCCTTTTAAAAAACCTTGCAACAGCATTACTATCCATGTTTTAACTTACATATGCTTGTGAATTTTTGTTCTCAATGATGAACTTTGTTAAGTCTCATAGCCTGATAGATGAAAATAGTAGTGCATGCATATATCTCAAGGTTATTAAATATAAACTTGATATAAAATCTCTGTCATCAGTGATGCAACAGCAGAAGTCCTACTGATAATATATAAAAAGAGGCAACAAGATTTCTGCCTCTAGTTTTATCTGATGTTTTCTTTTGAAAGTGACAAAGGTTCAGGGATGTTTAAATGTAGTTTTGAAGGTAAATAAATATATTTTGTTTTTTTATACATCCTTTATAAGGGATTTAAAGTCAAAAAAGGATTATTTTTAAGTCATAAAAATGTATAACTGTAAAAAAATGATTGATTAATCAAAAAAAAAAAAAATATTAAATTTTTTGTGTTGCTGCTAATAATAGTTAATAGTGACTTTAAATTGTGTGACTATGTATAGCAGTTACATTTATACTTACAGGCTAATAAAAAATATCACAAAAAACTTTTTCATAAAAACCTGTCACATTTTTTTTCATTCAGTCAGTTTTACATGATTTACATAGTTTCTTACAATAGCATGTCTTTACTGTTCTGGAGTGATTTTTTTTTTATTTAAAAAAGTTCTTCCCATACCAAGAAATCAAATAATATGTTCTCAAAAGATTTTTGTTGGCACATGGAAAAAATTTGTGCCAGAGATTTGGCCGGTTTTAGCACACTTTCAAAAAGTTTGCCCACCCTTGATCTAGACAATTTAGCTAAACTGGATACCTGCCCAAAAGTCAGTGTACATAAAACTGAAAGTCTCATCTTCAATATCCACAAAGATAGGTTGGTGCCTAATGATCCTGTTCAGTAAATGAACAGGAATAGAAGCAGAATATTTTATAGCTTGTATAACAAGATTATTTACAAAAAGAAAAGTGACTAACACTATTCAAATACCCACACAATCTCTTTTCTTCGTGAGATGGCAGAAGGTAAATTCAGATTATCATAATATTTTAAACCATGTAAGGTTTCAATATACATATGTAGAATTTATTTTTGTTTGATATCTGGGGTTTGTATAAACAGGGTGTCCCCCAAAAAGTCTGCACACTTTAACAGCTGATAACTCATTTTTCAGATTTAACCTATTAGAAGAAAAATATCAAAACCTGTCTGTAGATTCTATTAAATTTTGGAAATTAAGCTTATTTTAATAAAGACTAACTGTATAATCATTCAAATTACATATACGTTTTTTGAGATACAACATTATATATATATATATATATATACACACACACATCTCCAAATACTTGAAAAGAACTAATCTAAATATATGTTTATGAAGTGTTTAAATCTCAGTAGGTAAAATTTGTATTCAAATTAAGAATATTGTATATGCAAGTAGATCCCTAAAATTTCATGCTTCATTCAGATTTTGGCCAGATAAACTGACCACACCCATCTTGTGAAAATAAAACAAATTTAGATTGATTGTCTAAATGAACTTATAAAACTCTTGTTTTATGCTTAGAAAGTTCATTTATATACTGGAATATACAGTATTTCTTTCAAATCCATATACAAATATCTGATAGAATACAAATAAATAAATTCATTCAAATGCAAGAGTGAAAGATAGTAAAAAAAATGTTTTGTCTGGCTCTTCTGGTAATCCCATTTGCAAAAGAAAATATTGTACCAATTGTTAATCGCATATAAATGAATATATTTCGTCTTGTGAAAAATTTGCTTAAGGTCAAAGCTTGAACAAAAGCTCACAAGGTTTTCACAATAAGTGATAGGTCTATTTCAAGCTGAGTTTTTATAAGAGTCATAGGATACCAGGGATAAATTTAATTGTTATGCTGACAAATACATTTTAAACATGTTTGTTGTTTTGACTCTTTAAAGCAGTGGTTCTTGTTCTATTTTTACCCTTTTCATCAGAAGTCAAAATGTCATTCTCCACCTTTCCAAGATTGTCCAACTCAAATGGTGCAATTCAAATAATATACATATATTATTGAAAATCTTCATTCTTTGCCATATTAGTACATAGACACTTACATGGATTATTTTTATAAGAGTTTTTTTGTGACACTCATTATGTGCTCCAAATTCTGTAAATAAAAAACAAGTAAAAGATACGGGGGGGGGTTATGGAAGTTCCCTCCAGGTTGAGAACCATCCTGCTTTAAAGAATTTTTGTGTGTCTTACTGTAACCATTAAGAATCATAACTAACTGCTGTTATTCAAACAGAAGGATAACAACCATTTTAGTGAAAAAGATAGATAAGAGTTCAAAGCCATAGAAATGGTGAGCAAATTTTTCACATTCATGTAATTATAAAAATAACCAAATGAACAAAAGTTGGCAAGGCAAAAAAAAAATAAAAATAAATTCTATGATCATTCTTGGGTTTTAGTTTGTTACTCAAAAACTTAATCAGAAAATATGTGAACTGCAAAAAAAAAAAAAAAAAGATGATATGAAGAGTCTTGTTTCTTCAAAAGTAAAATATATAAATCACACACAATTAACATACTGGACACTTCTATACAAATCCGCACACAGCTGCTTTTCATTCTGTCTCAATCACTTGAAAACAACTCATGGCAACAGATTTAAATTTACCATTTGACTTTTGTACAAATGATTAAGTCAACAGCAGCAGTAAATCTCTATCAAACATGTTTCTCCAAATCAGTCAGAAAAATTAATGCACAGTAGTAACTTCTTTTCCTATACAATATAGATACATGGACATGGTAAAGCTGAACTCAGTTCTTTGTATAAGCCCTGTAAAGAAAGTTTTGTTGTTCCACAAATTTAGGATTTGATTTTTAAAAACAAAGGTTTAAGCACAGGATTATAAACCTTATTAATGAAAAAAAAAAAAAAAAATCTTAGGAGCATAAAAATTTCAAAAGGTGGTTCAACAGATATATTCATCAAATAGTTAACAACCCAAGAAACCGGTTGATCAAGTTTTGATATTTATGTCCATATTAATGAAAATAGGGTTAAATTTGTTATTCTTAATGATTAAAAGAAAACTAACCTCAATGACAGCATGGTATGCACACATTTTGTGTACATCTTGTAAATGAATATTTTAACAAGTAATAATATTTTTATCAGATTTTTTTTTAAAAACCTCAATCAATCAAAAAAGCTATTAAAAGTTTAGACATGAGTAAAGAAGGCATAAACATATTTTGCTGAACAACAGGTTAACATTTGAAAAACATGGCTGATTTTTTTTTTCTCTTATTTTTGGGTTAGAGTCAAAACTGCAAAAGAAGTTGTTTCATTGTTCAACACCCACTTTTCACAATATCTCTTCATCCTTAGGATGCTATACACTTTTATATATATATATATATATATTATATATATATATATATATATATATATAACCATTTTATCTATGATTATAAAACCCAGCATTCCACATGTCATTTCAGTTCTCCGATATCAAAAATTGTCTTGATACATTCTTATTACCAAGAATTCAATTTCTCTCTTTCTGTCAGAAATGAATAAATTTACAAGACGGATTTGAAATGTAAAAAAAAGATTTGCAGTATCATACACAGTGGAAACCAATGCCAGTACCAGTGGTTGGTGTTTGAACCCAGGGAAATAAAACAAACCTTGATTTTTGAACTAGGCAGTAGGATGATTGGGTATATCTATCTTAACTATGTCCCCATTGATCTTTAATAACTACTTCCATATAAAAAGCAGATTGAGGGATTTGTTTTTTATGATTTATCAACCCTTTGCAGGTTATTCAAAGCCAGAAAATATTTTTAAATTTTAAGAATTTTGGAAGATAATTATTTATGGATACAAGCCCTACTAATTAACCCATAGTTTGGGGGAGGTGGATTCATACATCTTCCAAGAGTATTTGTGCATAAGTGAATATAACGGGGGGGGGCTCTCTGATTAACAATTCCAAGCTATTATCCATTATACCAACAGCAACCAAGCCTACAGCACTTGCTATTCTCAAGTGGTCACCCATCCAGAATCAAAGTTACTTAACTAGTGGTCATATAAGAACTGGTGTTATGATATGGCCATAAGCCAATAAAAAGCACAAAGAAATAGTTTCTCATTAGTGAGTTAAATAAAGACTATCTTTACTAAAATAAATTTAAGCCTACATAACTTATATAATAAATTTGGGTATGTAATCCTGACACAGTTATAAGTTATTGACATTTGGAAAAACGTTCATGAAAATATGTTTAAAAAAATAATACAGGTGAAATGCATTATCGGATATTATTTTTGAAACCTACTTTCATGAAAGTCTTTCCAAATGTCAATAACTACAAAATTTAAATATAAATTTTCTTCAGTGCAGATCATTTGTTGTAGAAGGGACGGTTAATAAGGTAGTCCTGCAGAATATTTTTGAGGATAATTACACTATTTGATGACATAAAATATACTTAAAAAAATAAAAATGGCTAAAACAAAATCTCCCTGCACTATATATATGTGAAGTTAAGGCTTCCCATAAACTAATTTTATCTCTGATGCTTGCTACCATAGACTATAATTAGCTCAGCTTAGGTAACTACCTGGTTTGCATATTGGGGCCAACCACTGATATCCTGTGAGGCACAATGCTGCACATGGCAACTTTGAGGTCACCTTCCAAGTTAACCCACTGATGCACCTGGCTCTGCTGATGCTACTTCAGGTGAGCCAAGAAAATGTCACCACAGATCAACTCTTCTTAGAACAAAGACTCGATATTGACATTAAATTTGATTCAGACCTTTGGTATTTTCTGGCATGAATCACATACTACACACTAAACCCCCACCTTTTTTTCCTGAATATCCCCGACTGAAATGAGGGTGCCTTTAATATGCCTATGCGTCTTTCATGCCATCAAATAAGTCATTTTGAATTACCCTGAGCTATATAATACTTATATGGGAGATTTGTTTTTAAACAAAATTATCCTTTCATGGTCTTTTATGTTATATCAATTGAGTTCAGTTAATATAATTAGATAAAATTAAGTTATATTTTGTGAAGACTAAAGAAAGTGAAGCATTGTGTTCGCCTGACCTGTGACTAAATCAAGAGATGAATAGAGGAAAGGAAAGCTTGATATGGACACTGTGTACACTCTACAAACATTAAAGCATACCTCCCAAATGGCAGGCATTGTCCTTACAGATAGGTTCACAGTTCAAAAGGTCCTCACTGGATCTGGCGCCTGCAGATAGAAAACAGCACAAACTGACAATGAAAAAAATAAATAAAATAAAAACAAGGACCAGGAGAAATTAAATACCTGGAAATTAAAAAAAAAAAAAAAAAGTAGTTATGCATTCGGATCCTTTTCTCTTGAAAAGAAATTAGTTTCAACATCTAAAAAAAAAAAAAAATAATATTTTCCAAGATATTTTAATTGTTAAATTTTTTATTTATCTAGTTTATTATTGTTTTATTGTTTTAATTTTCCAAGAGATTTTAATTGTTGATCAATTTCCTTTTAAATCAAAACTCTAGCTTTATTTGTTAGTGATAAGATGCATTTTATTGGTTCTTGTTTGTATAGAAATCTTAGAGCTTTCTTTAATACAAAATTAATCAATAAAAAAAACAGCTAAAGTGAATTTGTGTGTGTGTGGGGGGTGACAGTTTTAGATGATGGACTCCGAAAACACCAAATCTGAAATGGTTAAAGACAAATAATGACAAATTTTCAAATCTGATGCCAATCTCAATTTTGTGTCCATATCAGAGCAAATTCAAATGAATGAATATTGGACATTTGTGAAAAACATGTACTCGTTTTTTCATTTTTCCATTTCTGTACTAACCACTATAACATGACAGTGACAAAATCATGACCAAGATGAAAATTAATGCACAAGGCTGCAAGAAAAATTAGATTCGTGTCTTTCTCAAGCATTAATGTAATACATAAAATTAGTGATTAGGACTAGAATTTGAATTGGCTTTGTTTTTACAGTGATTTTTGAGAAAATCAATTTTCTATATTCTGTGTGCAGTCTTCATTGTAAAAATTAAGAAAAAACATGGCATATATGGGATGATCCTTAAATTAATCACAATGAAATACAGAATTTAAAATGGGAAAATATTAATTTTAAGACAATAAAATGATACAATCATAAGTAAAACTTTTCCCCACATAAACCATATTCTATTGAAAGAATCACTAATTTATTTGTTACATCTTCTTAGTTTTGTGACAAATTCAGGATGAGATGGTAAAAATACTGATAGATATGGACATTTTTTTTTTTTTTTTTATTCAAAGGTGACTCTAGGAAAGTAAATGCTATTTTACTCTTTGGATAATTACAGTCTGAAGTCATCTGAACTAGGATCAACCTTCAAATGAATACTAAGTGAAAATAAAGTACAATATTAAAGTTTGTGAATAATTATTTTAATCTAAATAAGATACTATTTATTTAAGAAAAACAATCCTTCATAAACACAAAAAAAAAAACATTAATCATTTCATAACAAATATTTGTTTAAATGTATATGATGTTATAACATACTTATGTTATAATTTTTAAATAAATATTATTTGCTCTACTTTGTACTGAGCACCTTTTTTTTAAAAATATTTTTTAAAATATATATATATTATATATTAAAAATGTGTTTTTGGTTACTGGAATTTTATTCCATCTATACCAACCTTGTATTCGGTTATTTCATAACTATAAATTATTTGGTGTTACAACAGAAATGCACCATTCCAAGAAACTTTAGTAATTTTTTTTTCTATTACTATCATTTAAGCACCACAAATCATGGATATTAATTTTTTTCTAAATTTTATATCAGGTTTCAATTTGCTATGTAAATTCATTGTAAATCGAGCCTTCTATGCAAGTAGATTCATTGTAAATTGATCCTCTATTTCTTGATCCAACTACACGAGTAGATTTACCATAAATTGATTTCCTATTTCTTGCATAGGTGTGTCTTTATAGAAATGCCAATTATTTCTGTAAAATGAAAATATTATGGATTTGTTATTTAAGAAAAACATTTTTGTGCATAGGGGGAATTGAGGGAATTAACTAAAAAAAAATTTTTTTTCAGAATAGTGTTTGGTATTTTCTGGTTGTATTTAAACTTTAGATGTAGGCTATTATTGAATAATTCACATTATAAGATTAATTTTAAAAATAATGGCATTGATAAGGAGATGGAGATATTGCCTAATCAGATTGTGAACAAAACCATCCATGTGTTACAAATATCTTAAAAGTTTAATATTTTTCAACATAACAGATAATGAAAAATGATATCACAGAATAACAGTATTAGCAAACTGATTCATATAAAATGAAATAATTATAAATAAAAAGCCCCTTGGTTTATAAGACCTGCAACAAAACCTTTAAAAATATGTCTGATATGCGACAAAAGAATATTGTCATACAGTGAGGTGTAGATATATAATTTGGATCATGCTACTGACAATTCACAAACATTCCCAAGAAAACTGAACACATGCAGATAAATACACTTCTTTTGTGACAAAGTGTACATAGAAGAAGAAAAAATATTAAATATAGATAAAATACTTCTACAAATTCATGTAGAAAACAATCTAGGAAGTTCGGATTCTACACGCTACCTTTGATATCATTTATCTAGTTTATTAAAATGCGGCTGAACAAATTATGGTGTGGAGTGGGTGACTATCCTAAAAAGATCTGAAATTTCTCATTTTTCTTATAACAAAATGAAATTTAAGGCTGATAGGATCAAGAACTGTTTTTAATGCTAAAATGACAAAAACTCACCAGAATCTATCTTACATATTTATAAATCTATCCTTCATCTTTGCTTTGAATATTGCTGCCACCTCTGGTGCTTCTGCTATATATTTAGAAAGTCTTGATAAAATCCAAAGAAGAATCTGGCATCTTGGCTTCAGTTCTTTTCTCACCACTGTAACATAACTTTCCTGTGCCTTTTCTATAAATACTTTCATGGTAATTATTTTGATGAACTTTCCTCCTTGGTATCTAAACTTTATGAATTTAAGTGCTGTACTATATTGGCAACAAGATCTTAAAATTTTAGTTTAAATGTCTAGATTTAACTGTAATTTCTATGCTAACAGTTTCTTCTCTCACATTGCTCTCTTGTGGGACTTTTCTGGCTTCTTGCTTTCCAGTCAAGTTTGATCTTCAAAAATTTAAATGTAATATCAATCGTTATCTTCTGTCTTAATTCCTGTTCTTTTATTGTTCTCTCTCCTTAATAGCATTTTTTTCCTCATATTCTAGTAACCACTTGTGTCTTAATGGCTTCAATGCCTTGTTTAGGGTGAAATGATAAAAAATATTAGGTTGGTGCAAAAATAATGTCGTTTTTGGATGTTCAACTTCAAAAGATCATAACTCCTTTCATAATAAACTTTATTAATCGAAATAAGAACCATTAGAATCGACACATTTTTGCCAACAAGAAACAAGTTTATTTATCCCATTAGCATAGAAATCCGGAGTTCTGGAAGCGATGAAGTCATTGAAGGCCAATTCAGCATCATCTCTGCTTTTGAAGCATTTTTTGCGCAGGAAGTTGTCGAGATGCTTGAAAAAGTGATAATCGGTGGGCGAGAGGTCCGGTGAATATGGCGGATGAGGCAGAGTCTCGTAGCCCAATTCGTTCAGCTTCTGCAGGGTCAGTTGAGCAACATGCGGGCGAGCGTTGTCATGGAGGAGAATTGGTCCCTTCATATTGACCAATCTCGGGCGCATACGTTGGAGCTTCTGGTGCATTTTGTCAATTTGTCAGCAGTACTTCTCCGCCGTAATCATTTCGCCCAGATTCAAGAAGCTGTGATGGATGGGACCGGCCGCAGACCACCAAACAGTCACCATAACCTTTTTTTGGTGCAATTTCGGATTCGGGAAGTGTTGTGGAGCTTCTCCGGCATCCAACCACTGTGCCGAACATCGCCGGTTGTCGTAGAGGATCCACTTCTCATCACACGTCACAATCCACTCAAAAAATGGGTCGTTTTTGTTGTGCAGAAGGAGTGTAGAAGACACCTCAAAACGACGATTTTTTTGATTATCGTTCAATTAATGCGGCACCCATTTATCCAACTTTTTTGACTTCCCTATTTGCTTTAAATGGCAAATGGCTGTTGAGTGGTCGACCTTGAGTTCAACAGCAACTTCTTGTGTGGTTTTGCGAGGATCAGCTTCAATTAAGGTTCGTTATCCATCGCAGTTGGCCGCATCGCACATGGCTATATATATCAATGAATTAATTCAGAAATCATATATAAAAGTAACATATGTGAGAAAATGACATTATTTTTGCACCAACCTAATAAAAAAACAACATTCTATGGGACATTACTTCTGCTATACTTTTCCCCACTTTATCATATGAATGACTATTTGCTGAGAGACAAATGGTCAAAACTAATCTATTTCCATCTCCAATTCAGATTATGCCTATTGGTAAGGAAAAGAAAAAAAAAAAAAAGAAAAAAAAAAGAAGCAAGTAAAACATTTTATATAAAAAATCCACCAACCAACCGACCCACCCTCCTTAGAATAATGAAGGTAGTGCTGCTGCTGCTGCTGAAGGGTTGGAATTCCCAGGCCTTCATGTCTTTAAGAGGAAGAGAGAAAAGATACTACACTTTGATCCCAGTTCAAAAGCTGAGTAAAGATAGTCTGCTAATAAAAAATAAAAATACCTTGAACATATTTTACAATAAAAACAAACATTAACAGCATTTTATTTTAACTTCTTGCTTATTTTCAGGCAAGTTAGCATTTTCAGATAAATCTCAAAATCTCCAACTAGAGCTTTAGGTAAGAAAAAAAAAAACAAAAAAAACACTTAAGTTGCATCCTTAAACTGATATATTTTTCTTTGCATGGTTATTTATAAGATTTATACTTTTCTAAGTCAGTGTGCAGAACTGAGGATCATTCTCCAAGATACAAAGTGTCCCATATTTTAGTATCAGTGCCAAAAATGGTTAAAAAAAAAAAAGGAGGCAGACACAGAATCATAACAACTGTTTCTGATAAATTGGAAATTCTAGAAAGAGTACAGTAAGCAGTTTAATATTATTTTTTTAGTCACAAAATCAAAAATTACAAAAGGAATTAGTATAAGAGATTATAGCAGAAAGCTATTAGAATTTGTATTATGAATTAAGTAATGTCAGTAAAAGGTATTTCAGCAGGAAGCCAGTTGGATTATTACTAGAGTTAGAGAGAACAGTGACTAATTGAAGGTTATTTTTTAAGAAAATTATTCAAAGCAAAGTGATTCATGAGAGGAAATATTTTATACTATTTAGTACCAGTCTGCAAATGCATGTGGAGTGTAGTAATCATTGTGACAAAGTGAAATCGGCATGTAGAGTTTAAATTCTGTCTGAGTCTTTGTTTCACTTTAGCACAAATATCTTAATGAAAGGATATAAAGCTATCCCTTCTTCCTTCAGCTACGAGTTAAGCAGCAGGACAGGTTGTGCTCTATAGCCTAGGTTGGCAACCAGTCTAGGAGAAAGACAACTCTGAATTTAAAATTGGATGTGAGCAACTCCATTTTGTATGAACTTACTTGCTACAAAAAGTACAGCAGCAACACCTAGCAAGGTGAAGTAGTGGCCCTATTTTTCATAGGGGAAATAGCATTAAGGGAGAGAAAGAAGAATCACAAGGAGGGAATATTTTACACTATTTAGTATCAGTTTTCCCCTTAATAGAATCTTTTTCCTCATTATGAAATGTGAGAAAATGCAGAGTAATAGTAAACATTGGTCTAATAAATTGGCAAAAAATTGAACTAAAATTTCTTTTCCTTAAATTAAAAACTTGTTTTTATTCATTTTTAAATTCTTTTTAAATTTTGTAAAGGTTTGCTAAGTTTCCTGAGAATTAATAAAAAAAATAAAATCATGAATTCGTAATTACTTGCTTTTCTGCCTTTTTCATACTAACTGTTATTGAAATATATGTGGCTGGGGACAGGACTTGAATTGACTATTATGAAAGAGAGTTGTATGAATATCTATAGCTGAGAAACATCATACAATGGTTTCATGTTGAGGTCGGAGTCAGATAAGGTTGCAAATTAACTCCAGTATATCTCTAGAACTTTTCATAGATGATCTATTCTGTCTACACTCAAACCTGCACTTTGATGAGAAACTTTCAACTACATGCTGATGATACAGCACTGGTTTCACAAAATTTTGCCAAAACCAAAACTGCCCACAAAAGAACTTGAAAATGTTTGCAAGAATGGGTACTGAAAGTAAACTATCAAATGTGAAGCTGTTTAAATTTTGGAAACTCTTTCTAGAGATGAGTTTTGTGCATCTGATGATATAAAGTGAAGAAGGGCATCTGCCTCCACTGCTTTTGGAAGACTGGAGGAAAAAAATCTGGGACAGAAAAGACATTCCATACTACATCAAAAATCTTGTCCTATGATGCTGCTCTGGTCATTACCATAGTAAATTATGCCTGAGAAAAACATATTTTAAGGCTCTTAGTTTTCACAAACAAATATCTCAGAGCCATAACTGGGAAAAATATCATAGACAAAATCAAAATGGCTTCCATAAGGAAAAAGCTAGATATGAAAACTCAAGAAGAAGGAAGCTAATCTGATTGGGCCATGTAAAGAGAAGAAAGCTTTGTGTATAGATCCTACAAAGACAACTTCCCTGGCAAAAGATCACATGGTAGACTGCCTAAGAGATTGGAAGACCAAATCAGAGAGGACACCAGAATGCCACTTCTGACACTTTGAAAGGATGGCCTTAGATAGGAAGAAATGACAAAAAAAAATGTGTAAGGACCTCTTTGGGATTATGCATCTAAGTAACTTTAATGAATACAGTTTTATTTCACAAAACAAAAGAGGGCTGATCTCCAATGTCTCAGTGATTGTAAAATGGGATATCTTGAATCTATTTGCCAGAATTGAAGGAAAAAAGATCTATTGGTATTTTTTCTTTTTTTAAAAGGGAGATAGTCATTTGCTTAACATTACCTGTCTAAGGATGGCCAGTGAGACACACAAAGACCAGAACCTAAAGATATGAGAGAAAACAGTATAGAATATGGAAAGACTGTTACCTCTCAAGTTAATGTTGTTGGATCTGTTGAACAAGAGAGCTGTTGTGGACTTGGCAAGGCTTTTATTCTGATTGGACAGACAGGGTGCATGACTCTCGTCTATAGACATCGATTTTCTATATCGCTGTTTGGCTGTAGTGAAGAACATGCATGAAAGAGGCAAAATCTGTTGATTGGAGATTAGGAGTCAACAGGAAGAAAATGAGCCAACAGTGAAAGAGTGTGCATACACATACCAGTGGTGGTAACTTATGTGACAAAGCAAAGAGAACAGAGTTAAACATTTGTGTTTATAAAGTCATTGGTTGATATATTGCAAGAAAGCTATACTTAAAGCTTGTTGGTGTTGGTTGTCACTCTTTTGCAATATTATATGAATACAAAATTTGGGAAAACTTGGATCTTCATGCCCACAAAAAAAAAAAAAAAAAAAAAAAAAAAAAGAAAAAAAAAAAAGAAGTTTTCAAAAGGATGTTTTTTTTCATTGACACTGCTATTATTTAAACTATCTTCACTCCTTGGCAATATTTGTTGTTTTAAATCATAATAAATCCTAAACATGAAGGTCCAAGTTTTACCAGTTAGGCCATATAAAGTAGTATTTTATTCTTATACTGAAAAAATTAAACTAAACAACTGTATAAATTTTTCTCCCCAGTCATAAAAAAAAAAAAAAACAAATCTTTCCCCTTTTTGTTTTTTGAAATGTTTAGAAAGCACAAATATTTTAAAGTAAAATACAAATCCTGTAGTAAAAGTGCTAATAAATTTTCAGGTTTATTACTCATTATTTTTTTAAGCTAGTCTTATTGTTAGCAATTCCATAAAATGAACTCTGTTGATCAAAATTCTTTTTTATTCTAGAATTTTACAAAGACAGAAACAGATTGGTTTGTTTTTGTTTCACGGCATATCAACCCTTTACTTAATGACAGATTCTTTCTTTCTTTCTTGACACATGGTGTCTTATAGTAATTTACTAAGCATATCTTAGATGTGGCACAAGGTTGAAAATATGGAGCACCCATTGTGGATCAAACTCACTACTCAGTTGTAATTGATCTAGTGAGACAAACTTGGTAACCATTACATCATGTCAAAGTGCCCAAATAATGATTTACTAAGTGTAACTTAGATGTGGCACAAGGCTGAAAGAATGGAGCACCCAATGAAGATCAAACTCACTATTCAAACATAATTGATCTAATGAGATAAATTTGCTAACCATTACACCACACTGGTGTGTTATAGGTTTTATATATATATATATATATATATATATATATATATATATATATATATATATATATATATATATATTATATTTATTAGGACATAATAAAAAAGAGAATTTATTTTTAGTTATAATTTTTTTTAAATTCAACTGTTTGAAAGTTTATTATAGAACAATTGTTACTGATGATCTTAAAATCAATGTCAAGACCATTAATGATATTAGAAAGAAGCTTTTTCTCCAATAAGATTATAAAACTGCAAATATATATGTTGTAAGTAATTCCCACAATCTGCTCCCCCTGTTTGGTGTAATGGACAGACTCCAGAAATGCTTATAAGTAAGTTAGCTTAATTCTTTTCTTTTGGTAGCTGTATTAAGTTGAATAAAGCTTTCCTAAGTTTATTCACTTCGGGTTATTCATTACAATATACACATTAAAATATGTGGGCATAATTTGGGGATGTATATATTTTTCATAGTATTGTAGATTTTTTTTCAAAGCTCTTTTTACATAAGAAAATATGCAAAAGATGTGTTTTGCTAGAAAACAATTAAAAGAATGGGCAAAGCAGAAGCAAAATTGAATGAAACGCTCAAAATGACATGCACACAAACACAATGTCAAGACAAAACTTAGATCCAATTTGCAAAAAATATCAATAAAAGAAAAAAGTCTTCCATATTTTCCTCTTCATCTATCATTTTAGCAAAGCTTATAGCAATAATAATACTAGCAAATTATTCTTTCTAGCAGTTTCTATTTTGCTGTACAAAAGTTTCCCCTATCTATGCTTTTTCAGTGAAATCAATGACACAGTGTATATAATAAAATTAAAGCACCCTTCATTTTTATATACTTTATCATTTGGACCAGCATGCTGATCATTGTTGTTATAAAAAAAACATTTTGGCCATTGTCCTTGACCTTCTTCAGTATGACATAACTGAAGAAGGCTGTAAAATACAACAACCAAAATATTGTGAGCATGATAGCCAAGATGAGCATATAATAGTGATAATTCCTCATCTTAAATATTCAAATATAAATAATGAAAGAAGGCTGGAGAGTACAACAGCCGAAACATTGTGAGTATAACACCCAAGATGAGCATGCTGATCTGAATAGCAAAGCATATAATGATAATTCCTCATCTCAAATATTTCAATATAAATCAAACTTTGTCTATTAAAGATGATTAAAGAGTATCTATAAATGTACAAGGGTCTCTCCAAAAATAATGCTTCAAATTTTTTTTCCAAAGAAACTACAGATATAAGAGAGCACAATAACACTATTGGTTAGAACAAGTTTTAAGCTAGAATCCCTGCCCCCAATCACTATTGTTGGCTATTTTTGCTAGCAATCAAAAATGCTATCTGTCTATATTTCTGAGATGAGCTATTATGTACACTATTTACATTATTTGGGCTATTGTCCTCATCTTTGTCGCCATATTTATTACGTTTTGGCCGTTGTACGCTCCGGCCTTCTTCAGGTGGTTGGAATGTCGAACTGAACCCTTTATTTCGCCCAGTGGGGTAGAATGTTCTACTTCCATGTGCCATGTCTAACGGATGTTAGTTATCAGTTATCTCCTGTTAATTCCCCCTCTCCAAGTTCTCCACCACCTTAACCAGGTATTGAATTCACAACTCTTTGGGTCCTGTCACTGGATCTAACCAATGCCTTTATCCACTGTGCCACGTGTTCTTAAGGAAGAAACTTTTTTTATTTACCACTGTGCAATTCACCCAAAATTAAACCTTTAAAATAGTTTTAATTGTAAATCTGAAAATGTCATTTGTTGGACTGGATATTTTGAAATCTGATAAAAAAAATGCATGTAAATTTCTTAAGATGAGAAAGGATACATTTTTATTCCAGGCAAAAAAATTGAAATAGAATTTTTGCTTTTGTTTTTTTATGAAGAAAAAAAACAGAAAATACTGTCTCATTTGTATATTTTTATGTGTAATCTGCTAAATTAAAAGTAGATTAGACAAAATGAAATGCTAAAAATTATCTTAATGTGACAAAATACTTAGCAGCCTTTCTTATGTCAAAATACAATTATACAAATTAATAGATGTTTGTTCAGCAAAAAAACAAAAAAACAAAACTGAGTTTTAAAAGATAAAATTCTGTGTGAATTTCTGGGATGAGGAGATATCATTATTTAATTTGATGCTATTATCACAACATTTTGACCATTGTCCCCCAACCTTCTTTAGCTATTTGTCGAGCCAGGTAAACTTCAGGAAATTCTGACCTGAACCCTTTATTTAAACCATGGGGATAAATTGTTCTTATTCTGCTGCCCTGGTCTAGCGATAGCTCATGTTCTTTTTTAAATGCTGGCTTTGTTTTTATTAAGTATGTATGACCTACCCAGGGATTATCCCATGGAACAATAGCCTAGTGGATTAAAGTATTGATTTATTAATTTGGTAGCATAGTAATTGCAAAGGCTTATGGCCACATCATGTTGAAAACATTAGTTCCCATATGATCAAAGAAGTTAAGCAATGTCAAGCCTGGTCACTACCTAGATGGGTGACTGCTTTTTTTATTATTATTATTATATATATATATATATATATATATATATATATATATACACACACACCGATATATACCCCATGCAAGGCAGTAAAGTCACAAGGGGTGTGGAAGAATTAGGAACAGAAGTCTGCAAAATGTTCATAAGCTGTAGAAAATGAGTCAATAAATCATAGTAATTGTGACTTCAATCTGTGGGTCAGATAGTACTTAGTGGAAATAGGCCAAAAAATTAATTGAGCAGTACTAAAAAGAAAATAAGACGAGATATCCCTAGATATGGACAGTAAAAGAACAACAATCAACTTGTTTAGATTAAATAAAGTGTTCAGTTCAGATTTTCCTAAGGTTACCTAGATCAACAAACACCTGAAGAAGGTCAAAGGTTCAGTGGCTGAAATGTGACAAAGATGAGGACATTTGTTCAACAGTAATGTATCTTAAGGTGTTAATATATATGAAGTTGTCAGTATGTCTTACTACCCAAAATAAACATAAAAATTTTTTGTGATGAGTTCAATAAATAAATTTAAGAATGGTTGACAAATTTCCTTCAAATTATTGGTCATATGATAAGCAAACAAAGCAGTAATAAAATTTAAAATCGATGAAGCAAAAGCAATGTTTTGAGAATTGTGTTTTAATTGAAAAATAATTCTTTCTGTACAAACATAAGCATTTTTAATATTACAGTGACATTAAATTCAAGCAATAAGTTGTTTAATTAAATAAAATCTTTTTTTAAATATAGAAATTGACTTCTTGAACTTAGGTCTTAAAAAAACATCTAGTAGCTTTGTAATTAATAAAAATTTCTTTAGATAATAGAACAAACAAAAAATGTTTTTTAGGGATGAAGGTTTCTTGAATTTTATAGAATTTTTAAGGGAAAAATTTTGGAGAGAAAATAGAGAACTTGTCATAATAATTTAAAACCTAATAAATTATCAACTTCATAACACTTGAGTTGCAACCCCTGGACAACACATTAACCAGATATTTTAGAGATTATACCTATTAGGTACCTAACATAATTAAAGATAGATATAATTAGTAAATAATGTTTTCTTACATAAATAATTTCATATAATTATTAAAACCTATTTAAAATAGTTTCACTTAACGATGATATTATTCTTGTCAAAAGCACAATTTAGAAGACTGACTGGTAAAAACTAATGGCTTTTATATCAAAAGTCATTTCAAATATAATACTGTGGCAAGAAGCTAAAATAAGAAAATTGTACTAAAATAGATTTTGATAATTTTCTTTTTTTTCTATTTTTGACTAATCAAAAATGTTAATAAATTTTGAACTTCAGAGGTGAATTTAGA